TTTACAACGTCGTTGCCAAGCGACGAAAACCCAACCCCGATGGCAAACACCGGGGGTAAACAAATCTTAAGTCGCAATTTCACTCAACGAATTGCAGCCTGAGCCATCGACTAATCGGCGAAAATTTTTCGGCCGCTTGGCGAGGTGTCCACCTCCGATGAGCGTGGGGGGAGTATGTGACTATTGTCCGTAGCAGCTACCAGCGCCTGTTGTACTTTCTTTACTCATACGCGATAACAACTTTTCGCTTGTGTGGCATGATATTAGACGTGCCTTGAACATTAAGCTAGGACATAGTCTACTATTTTCTATTTTGGGGGGTAGGAAAGGACTCGTCATTGGGAACCAGCCATGCTTGGTTTGGCATTGTTGAGGCCGACAAGGCGTCGCGGAAGATGCTACCCGAGACTTTTGGAATTTCCTTCCAGTACGAGTGCTCTGGCGGCGCGAGCGCCATGCTTGTGGAGAGGGGCACACGCTGAGGAAACGGTGGCATCATGTTGACTACCTTTTATTTGCTCTATTGAGGATGTCCCTTTGAAAACTGTCCCAGCCGAAATCATCCATATTTCTGCACGAAACCCTTTCGAAAACCGGACGGAGGTTGGCCCTCGTTCGCGTATTTCTTTTTTTTGGGACTGGAATCGTATGTTCTAGGAGTGCATTTCAGCAAGAGAAGAATTGAAGGCTTGGAGCTCCTTGGGGGGGAGGGGAATCCTTTGCCATCGTGTGCGGGGGGGCTCAGTTTGAAGCGGTGACCGCCGCCCCCGCAGAATGTACCGAGGACAACGACAGGCTCGTTTGAGCTCCCACCACCACCATCACTGTTGTTGCATTCTTCGTGCCTGCCGGCTCCATCGCGTGTTGGGTGGAAGGAGGATGCTTCATTCGTCGAAGGCTGTGTCACAAGTTTGATGCAGCCACGGCTTGACATTGTATCCGGGAGGTTCACAGCCATGACCATCTCGTGGTGCTAATGGACGCCAACGAACGCACTGGTAGGAGGCGAAACGGGTGCTGCGATGCCAAGATCATGGGCGCGTACGGACGCGACATTTTGAACAACAACGGGGAACGACTCCTTGGACTGGCATGAGACAACCAACTCTCCCTGACCAATACCTACTTCCGAACACCGAAAGGTGGAGTGCGGCACACATTCCAGAGCTCCAACAAGGGGAAGGAGAAGTACCGCCTCGACTTCGTCCTCATGCGTCAGACGGACCGGCGTTTCGTGCGCAATGTTTCCGCCAAACGTGTCGACTTCAAACACTCTGACCACAACCTCGTGCTTACGACTGTCCGCCTCCCCCCCCGTGTCGCACCCAACCGACGAGTGCGGGGGAACAGCGGAAGCAACCGGATCCGTATCGACCTGGAGCGGTTGAGGAAGGACAAACACCTACGGGTCGCCTTCCAAAACAGGGCCTCCAGCCGCCCTCCGCCCACGGCGCTCAGGCGGCCAACGGGAGAGACCGCCGCCGAGCTAACGGCTTCGGTGATGTCGGCCGCTGCTGAGACCGCACCGCTGGCGAGGTGCGCACGAGGGCAGAGAGGCTGGTACACGAGCGAAGCGCAGCACGAGACCTCCGAAGCGTCGAAGGAGATCGAGGCGGCCCAGCAGCAACTGCGTGGGGCCTCAAAGAACAACGCCTTCGAGGCGACCCTGAAGGCGATGCTCAAGGCGGCGCGGAAGGAGCGCAGCATCGCGAGGTGGAGAGCACTGGAAACATTCTTCGAGGGCTATGTACGGCAGCTCGAGAAGAAGAGCCGCGAGGGGGATCAGGCGGGTTTCTACAGGCACCTGAAGATGATCGACGTCGAAGGCAACAGTCGTTCACCTCTCAGACATCAAGGACGGGGACGGCAAGGTCCTTCGGGACCCACGATTATTCGCCAACGGTGGGCACGGTGGTTCCACAAGCTTCTCAACACCAAGTCGCCGACCATCGACCTGCATGCGGCTGACAAGGTCAAGCGGTGGCCCACGTGCGTGCCACTCGACGACATCCCATCTCTACTTGAGGTTGAGGGAGCGGTACGGGAAATGGCCAACACAAAGGCCGTCGGGCCGGACGACCTACCGGCTGAGCTGATCAAGCTTTTCCTGGACGGAGATCAAGGTCTCCTCCGCGAATTCCACGCCCTGGTCGTGGACGGGTGGCAGACTGGGGACGTACCACAGCAGTGGAAGGATGCCACCATCAAAGTGCTGTTCAAGAAGGGGGACACGATGGAGTGCGGCAACTACCGGGGCATCTCGCTCGTCGCACACGCCGGCAAGGTGCTGCTTAAGGTCGTCGCTACACGACTGAGCCACTACTGCGAGCGAGAGGGCATCCTCCCGGAGGAGCAGAGTGGTTTCCGCCCTCACCGGTCGACGCTCGTC